AGGATTCTGGGGCTTCGTCTGACATACTTTGGACATGCTGTAAGGAGAGACAGGTCTTTAGAGAGGGACATCATGCTGGGTAGAGTAGAGGGACAGCGTAGGAGGGGAAGACCCTCTATGAGGTGGATTGATTCAGTGACTGGGGTAATCGGGATGGGTGTGTTGGGGCAATGAGATTGGCACAGGATAGAGCCGGGTTTAGGGCTTTTGTACATAGGGTCGCTATGAGTCGCAAACGACTCGACGGCACATAACAACACCACCACCAGACAGTATCTATCCTTATGAGACTGAATTAATTCATTTAGCATAATGCTCCTCAGTCCTTTCTGTATTGGGCAGTAATAATGCTAGACTTGTGGTATAAATCTGAGAATTTTATACCACAAGTGTAGTATTATTTAACTCACTGTAAATAGTACATAATACAGCTATATTTATCTACATAAATAACCACATATGCCAAGATAATAATTTTAAATATAATTTGATTAGAGTCTTTTCTTCTCTTGGAGAAAGAAATTCTCACATTCAGAACTCCTATGAGGGCTGGATAAAAAAATACACTGTAGTCACAATCAGCAAAATATGAAGGAAATGGATTCTGTCCAAAGAGTGAGCAAGATTAGCACCATATTTCTTCTCTTCTTCTCATCCTAATGAAGAATCATGCCCTTACCTTTTTATTCACAGCTACACCATCTTCACAATCCAGCACTGCACAATCTACCTTCAAGGAAGGAATCTTCTTTATTTTCTTCTCATCATTTCCAGGGACATAGAGCACCGCCCTCCGGGGAGTATACTTGTGCCTGGATGAGGAACTATACCCATGTCTGGAAACATCAGCTGCCAGAGGAGTTTTCCTGAAGGAGAAGCATAATTGAGGTTAGTGCAAGAAGAACACATTTATTACAAACACTTGGAAAAACTTTTTTTTAAATGTAAAATCCAAATAACATGGGCATAATTTTTAAAAATGATGATGGATCATAATCACACAGAGATCTAGGGAAACAATGTGAAAAATAAGCAATAAAATTATTTTGCCTGAGGTCTGAAAAGTATGTAACAATACTATATATTAGCACAACCATCTCTGCTTAGAAAAACACTGCCAATATTATACATCCTCTAGAGAACATCCATGAATAATAACAAAATAAATTTACATCTAAATAGTGTAACCAACAACATAATTGGCAAATACATGAAAGTGAAAAAGCAAAGTTAATAATTTACATGAGTGTTAATGATCCTCTTCTGGACAATGAATCTTGTTAACTCAAGTGATTCAAGTTGAATTTTAACAGAGATATCAAGACGGTTTACTTCTCTCTTTTAAGAGATAAAGGACAGTGAGTAGGAGATCATCTACGTCTGTAATTGTGGACAGCTTGATTACTAGAAGCAGGGAGGTCTGGTGGCATAGACTACAGGGAGTTGTGCTGCTAACTCAATTGGCAGTCCTTTCTGGCAAGACAGAGCACTAGCAGCTCCATGAATGAAAGATGGGCAGTGGCCTCCTATGTCATTCACAGCCTTTGCAAACCCACTAGTGGGTCAGCTATGAGTCTGTTCTGACTGGACAGTAGTGAGGTTGAAAGTTTTGAGTAATTACTAGAAACTTCAGATTCTTTATCTATAGAAATAATATTAAGGGTGTTTTGTTGTTGTTGTTGTTGTTGCTGTTGAAGTGGAAAATAAGTTTTAAAAAATGCACAAACCCCATGCAGTCAGTGCCTGGAAGAAATGAGCTGTTTGACTTGGTGGTGGGTGTAGCGGGAGTAGTAGCAGCTGCTGTTATTAATACAGAAGCTCTAGTTGTCAACAAAAGAACAAAAACTTTTCTCTCCCCCATAGACATCAATGCCGTAAACATATTTCATCCAGTTTTTCTCAGTCTTACCCCCACCCCAATGTCAGCCTCATGCTACAACAGTGGCACCATATAGCATTTATCCCTTTGTGACTGAGATACCTCACTCAGCATATTGTTTACCGTAAGAG